TCATTGAAATATCCTTAAAAAAATGAAATATGAGAAACTTCAAAAGACAAGTTCAAACAGGATGCTGTAAAATGGAATAAAGCCTCATTAGGATGCCCCATTATTTCCAAAATGTCGAGGATTAGGGCCTTCATATGTACTTACTCCCCATCTTTCAATTGTTTCACCTGTTAGGGCTCCTTTCGATGTACCCTTAGACATACAAATTTTTGTTTCGGGAGTGTCCTTGCTTTCATCCTTTTTTATGAGACATCTATTGTTAGTTAATGTAATGAAAAAAAGAAAAAAGTGGGAAAAAAATGTGAAATATGCAAGAATGCATGATGCATGAAGTTTCGAGGCACTGATCCAAAATGTGTCTATTACTGTAAATATCATTATTGGGGACAAAAGTATAATTTCTTGAGAGACAAAAAACATTTTAAAGGAAGACCCCGAACAGCTTCTGACAGGTTGATTCATCTTCCGCCTTCTTCTGTCACTGGTTGAATACCCTGTCGAACCGTTTCGGCCTCTCTGAGCTACTTTTTGTTCTTGTCCCAAGAGTATCGAATGGTTGCATCTCTGGTTTTCACTTTCCGCTGAGCCTGCCCTCAGCGAAAGCGCCTTGAAAGCCTCCATTGAAGGGATCTATCTGAAACTCACTTGTTTGCTTCTTGATTTGTTAACAATGAGCTGTTCTTTGAAGGGACTCTCTAGGTCAATAACCTTTTTTCTCGTCTTGCCCTATGACCATTGCCATCTCAAAAAGTTGACTTTTGGTGTACAGTGTAATCCCAGTCCATTCTGAGTATTCTCTACCATAGCTGGACTTCTGAGCTTTTCATCTCTTGTATTATAACCCCTTTGTCCATTAATGCAAATTATTTACGTTTAATGAACACGTTTTGGTGGATCAACACCTCTTTTGAATGATGCAAATGATAAAAATAAAATGAAAGAAACAAAAAATAAAAGGAAAAAGTTAGTGAGATAAGGATAATAGTCAAACAATAATGAGAATAAAAAAATCCTACCACACATTATATCTACCCCACATGCTTATTATTCCTACCCAACATGATCTCTATCCCACATGTTAATTTTGAACCAGTCCTGACCGCATAATTTCTAGTTCACATGCTTTGAACAGAAAAAAAGCAGGAAATAATCTCAAAGCATTCTAGGGTTTGAAATGAGGTTTTGGGGTGGGCTCTAATTCTATGTAGTCTCCCAGTTTAGGTTCTAAAAAGGGTACCCGAGTTCTCCTTGCTGGTGCCCCCTTGGGCTTGCCAGACCCTTAGTCCTAAGCCCATTACAAGCTCATGTGGACTAAGTTAAACTCGAGAGGATACATTCCCTTATGCCCATACGGAGAATAAATTCACACACGAAAACATAAGGTATATGAATCCCGAAGGTTACTTGCTAGGCCCATACGGAGAATAAATTCTCACGAGTGCGTCGATTTTACCCTCACTTAAAAGGGTTCGGAGCTCAGGTATAGAGCCAAGATGGAAACTTTGAAAAATCTAAAATCATTGAAAATGTCAGTACAACTATTTATTTGAAAAATAATCAAAGATAAATAATTAAAATCGAATAAAAATTTAATTTAAATTTATAATTTTCTCTCAAAAGACAACCAGAAATTAATTTCGGTCTAACTCACTTACATGTCCCCAGTGGAGTCGCCAAGCTGTCGCGACCATCTTTCGGTTCGACCCGAAATTGGGCTTCGACTTGAATAATATGGATTGGAGTCGCCACCAATCATTTTAAAAATATATTTAGACTGATCGGATACCATCTTACCTGGTCTGCGTTTTACCAGAAATGTGTCGAGTTCGGAAGTCGATTATAGTCAAGGAAGGATTAGCACCCTTGAATTGCCTTTTCGGTACTAATTAATTTATCGGCTGTCTTTAATTACGAAAAATAAAAAATTTAAATTAGAATTTAAAAATCGATTCAAATTACTTACCTTTGATTGGTTAGAATTCTTCTAAAAAAGAAGTCAAAACGTTAAATAGAAAAATAATAAATAACTATTAAATAAAAAATAATAGAATAATAAAATAATAAATCAAAAGGAAAAAATAATAATAAAAAAAATAAAAATATAAAAATATAAAAAAAAAAAAAAAATTAACAAACAAATTAAACAAACAAATTGGAAAAATAAATAAAAATAAAAAAGAATAAGTCAAAGAAATATAAAAATAAAGATAGAAATAAAAATAAATCAAAGAACACAAAAAGAGAAAAAATTAAAAATTAAAATTAAAAAACTATTAAAGAAATAAAAAATGAAAAATAAGAATAATGAAAAAAGACAAAACCTAGCCTATATGCCTACTATCATCATTCACCGAAAAGAAAGAACAATATTATCAGAGTGAGATGAGGTAGGAAGAAAAGAAGGGAAGGGGGCAAGGAAGAAAAATGGCAGAGAAAATTTGTTATATAAAATAAATAAAAAAATAATGAAATAAAATACATATATATGTACATAAACGTTTAGAAAAAAAATAATAATAATAAAAAGAAAAATAGTAAAAAATATAAAAATAAATAAAAATAATATATATATATAATAGTAATAATAATAACAATAATCATAAAATAATAATAATAATAATAATAATAAAGAAATATATATATATATATATATATATATATATATATAATATTATATAACAAAATATTAGATAAAAAATAATAAATAATTAAAAATAATAAATTAATAAAATTAATAAAAGGACTAAATGAAAGAAAATAAAACCATCAGTCACAACTCTAATATTAGAATAAATAGAATAATGGACACATGGGACTAAATAAATAACGTAAGTAAATAACCTGAAAGAGGAAAGTTTTAAAATTTCATAGTGCTCAAAACAAAGTTACAAAGATGGGACCTCTCATACGTCATTAACCCAGGCGTGAAATTATAGATCGCCCCTTGTCAAAAACGTCGTTTCACGTACCATATAAATGGCCAAACTTAGGCCAAAATGAGACATTCTCTCATTGCTTCACTCAAGTTGAGAGAAGAGAGGGAGAGAGAAAAATTCTCTCAAATCTCCCTCGTCGGAGAGATGGAACCACGGTGGGCAGCGATTTAATCCGGTGTCGGTGGCCGGAGGAAGATAAAGGACACTGAAACGCTCCTCCCTCACCCTAACACAAATCCACTATTCCTTTAAACTAGAACCTACCCAATTTCCCCAGATCTGGTTTTATCTTTCCTGGTATTTATCTTTCGAAAACCGAGAGATCCGATGGCCTCTTGTCTTCCCTGGCTTCGAGCAGAGGTAAGAACCTCTTCTCCCTCTTTCTCCTTAAATTTTTTTGCTCGGTGTTTCACCCTCTTTTTTCCGTTCGAAACCGGTGTTGTTGATCGAGTAAAGCAGCTGACTGTTCCCTGTGCTTTTGGTTGTTACGGCGCCGAGAAGAGATGAAGTATTAGGGTTGGAAAACCCTAATCGATTGGATGAAAACGTTGGGTTGGTTCAGGTCCTGAACTGATTCGGGTTACTATTCTGGGTCTGCTCCAGTCACGGGTTCCAGGCCATCAACGGGTTAGACCACTACTTTGGGTTTCTGCTGGGTAGTGCTGGGCCAACTATGTTCCGGGCCTTGCACCGTTTTGGATCTGTAAAGAGAAAGAAAGAAATGAATATGATGTATATGTATCATACTATACAATAATAAAATAATAATATATAGTCGGACTAAAATTAGTGTCCAAAACGGGATTCAACAAAGTAATAGTTTATAAATGGAGTATCATTTGTGTAATTTATCCAAAATTTTAACTAAAATCAAACATATATTACTTGTAATAGCTTCAAAACGTTGCATCATGTTCTTAATATTAGTATCTTATCTTGCCGAGGATAAAAGAACGTGTCGGACTCGTTTTAAGTATACACACCAGATTTAGTTGTGAAAAAAGTCAAATTAAAATCAATCATTCTTCCTTTCTCATCAAACGTATTCATTCTTCTAAATCACATGCTTTCCTCCAACGGGAATGGATTGTTTGAATCGGCAATTGTATGTGTTACCCTTTTTTTTTAGAAATGATATTGAAAAATTGTATGTGTTATAGGCATAAAGAAAATATATTCGTTTCATAATTATTTATTTTGATGAGTATATTCTTTAAATTTTGAAATTTTTATTTAGATATTATTCTATACTAGTTTTTTTATATTTGTTTCGGTTTATATTTAGAGTATTGATGATTTGATGTATTTGTGCATGTTGGTAATGAATTCACAAAGAGTAGACTTGTACACAGACCAGAAAAGAACAAAAGAGTTTAAATATTATTTATATGTTAGACTGTTTTTTTCCCGTGTTAGGAGAGAAAATTTATTAGTATTGTAATTTGTATGCCAGTTATGAGAATTTTTAAATACCTTTAAAGATAAAAATAATGTTGTTCTTTAAAGAGAGTACAAATTTAAATAATCGTGTTTGTAAAATGAACTGACAATATCAAATTGATAAAAAAAATGTGAACGTACAATACCTTTCGATCACCATATTATTTAGAAAAAATATAATCCTACCCAACAAGAAACGAACGTTCATAAGGAGCGGGGTTATTATCTTATAATTTTAAATTTTAATAAATTATCCCTTCTAATATTATTAGTGAATGCAAACTCTAATTATCCCCCCCCCCCAAAAAAAAAAAGAATTTAGCAAGCAGGGAGGTTGCATGTGGCTCTCTAGGAGCAATTACACCCGCATTATGTGAAGACAAAGGTTAAATTTAATTTTATTTGATAATAAAAAAGATAAAAAAATTTACATACCTAAACATTTTTAGAGTAAAATATTAAAATTTTAGACCCATTTTATAATTACTAGATTCGCTTATTCAGCCAGTGATGCGCAGTTAAAAAAAAACAGCAAAAGCTATTCATTTTAGTTAATTACTATCAGAGATATATGTGGTTAATACAACAAGTTGATAAACAAATAATCGTTACCACGTGAAAATCTGATCGGAAAACGTCTTTAGAGAATTATTCATAGATGATTCAATCTTTACTTTGCAGTCAATTTTCATTCCATCTTCAAGAAATGAAGCCGGCGACCGGGGATTCAAAGTTCAAACCCACATTTCAGCATATCGCCAGAGAAACCGAGAGTCTGATAAGATGAAGATGACGAACAAGAAGCATTGCCGTAATCAAGCTCGTCCACATCACAGAAATCTGAATTCAAAAGATCCGATAAACAAAACTCTTCCTCTCCCATGTTGAAGTCAAGCGTAAAATCCGACGAAACGGAATCGGTCCCTTCGTTGTCGGATTCAGACATCACCGGCGACAGCCCATTAACCTGTTTAGGTTCCGACGATGTTTGGTTCTTCGAAACACTCGAAGTGTCAGGGTTTATGAAAACCTTGGAGCACCTTGTTGCCCTTGTTCGTACCACGTTTGTTGAAAAAGAACCATTACCATTAGCGTCACCACCACTAGCACCTGCACCAGTGGCCTGTTTCGAAGCTCCGGAAGCCGTCTTTTGGCGGCGGTCGTCGACTTTTTTACTTAAGTTTGCGTTCCAATAATTCTTTATTTCATTGTCTGTTCGTCCTGGAAGCCTCCCAGCTATCAAAGACCATCTGCATTAACGCCGTATAAGGTGACAAAAAACAAAACCGTGAAGACAGACAGACGAATTACGAACACAAGCTTTAAGGGGAAAAAAAACAAACCTGTTTCCCAGAAGTTTGTGGAGTTTGATGATGAGTTCTTCTTCATCAACTGATATGTTACCTCTTTTGATATCTGGTCTCAAATAGTTCATCCACCGAAGCCTGCAACTTTTCCCACACCTTTGCAGACCTGTAAAAAAACAAACAAAAACGTATAAATTTGTCTGAAAAAAAAAAGTTTAAAAATTTCCAGATGAATTATTTACACAATACCAGCTCTTTTAGGGAGATTTCTCCAAAGCCCTTCACCATGTTCTTTAATGTAATCTGTAAGAGTTTTGTCTTCAACAGCAGTCCAAGCTCCTCTATTTAGACCTTCCTTTGAACAACAAGGACTCCTTCCCATTTTTTCTCTGTGATTTTCAAACTTTGTTAGTCAATGATTCTGGACATTTTCTCCCTTGCTGTAGGGGATGATTTATAGTTGCCTTTCCATGGGGTTTTTATGACATTGGTGACGTTTGAAAAATAATAAGGGTAAACTACAATTTTAATATGTAAATTATCATTTTCATCTACTTTAGTAACTAAACTTTTAAGTTCTACAAAACCATACTTAACGTTTAGTTATTGTTTCATTTTAGTACCCCGTTAAAAACTTAACTCGTTTAATACTTAAACTATCAGTTTTTATCCGTTTTAGTACCTAAACTTTCAAAAAAAAATCAAAAGTTAACGTTATTTTTTTAACGGAAGTACTAAAATGAAACAAAAACTAAATATTAGGTATGATTTTTAAAAATAAAAAATTTAGATACTGAAACGGACCAAAACCCATAACTTAGGTATTATAATCATAATTTACCCAAATAATAAATTCATGGTTCTGCTTTTCTTCTATTTTCTCACGTTGCAAAATTAATATGAAAAAACAATTACAAAATGGGTTATCGTTGTACATGTGCCAAAGGGGCCACGTATATATATTCCCCCATATGAAGAAATAAATTTGTTTTCCTTCAATTTTTCTGGCTTCCTATCTATGATTCGAGCAATCATGTAGAAATATTTTTTATTATTAAAATTTTAAATATTAAAAAATGATAATTAAAATTTTGAATTACTATAAAGTTATCTATGTACATTATAAAACAGTATAAATTTTTTTAATAAGTTTAAGGAATATTATTTAACAACTTGATAAGTTTAATCATTTAATAAAATTATAGTTATTTTGTAATTTCAGATATAGAAAATAACCTCAGTGACCAAAAATCTCATATAATATACGATTTTAACCAACCTTTTCCGGATTTGCCAAAATGACCAATAAAATCGCAATGCGATCGCTAATTCGCAACGCGATCTCCATTATCGCAAATCAGGTTCCAGATTCGCAACGCGATTATGACTATCGCAATGCGATTTTCCAATTTCGCGTTGCGATTTTCCAATTTCGCGTTGCGATTTTCCCAATTCGCAATGCGAATAAGTAAATCGCAATGCGAATTTGGAAAATCGCAATGCGATACTGACTATCGCAATGGAAAATCGCAACGCGGTACTGACTATCGCAACGCGATAATACAAAATCGCAACGCGATACTGACTTTCGCAACTCGATACTTAATTTCGCAACTCAATACTGACTTTCGCAACGAGATAATACATAATCGCAATGCGATTTTCAAAGCGCCATTAGTATCGCAAAGCGTATTTTATTTTCAAATTCCAAACACGAATATTAATATATTGGAACACTGAACCGTCCACAGTATATCCCGTAATCGCAACTCATAACCTAAACCTAAATCACAACTCAGTCCCATCTCCATCTCTCACCCATCTCCGACGAAATCCGTCCCCATCTCCGGCAAAATCCGTCTATCTCCATCTCTCAGAACCACCCTCACAATCAGAAATGGAAAATCAACCAAATCAACCACCGAGGGTTAGTTTTTTTAATTATTTTTTTTTTTTGAAATTTTTGCATTATTATTAGGTTTTTCATATTGAAATTGATGATAAGTTTACGGGTAATTTCAATAATAGATTAACCATTTCACTTAGATTGCTTATTAAATCAACCGAGAATCGCAACGCGAAATGAAAATCGCAACGACAAAATCGTAACGCGATTTTATTCTCTCGTTGCGATAGTCAAATTCGCGTTGCGATTTTCATTTTCGTGTTGCGATTTTCATTTTCAGAAACTATTCTTCTTCTGCAAATTGAAACTTGAATGAATTGTATTACTTCAACCAAAAAACAAAGACAAATAAGAAATTCACAGTGTTGCAAATTTAAGTTTGAAGAATAAACTACTACTCTTTATGTTTATTATTGTTTTTGATATATCTTCACAGTGTAGTTTTTGGTATATCTAACTTAGTATGTTTATTGTTTTTGTAGAACTTTTATTCGGCTCAATTGACCTTAAGAAATAAAGTCAGCCTGGCCAAAACAATTGCGTCGAAGCTTTCACCTGCACAAAGAAAAATGTTTGAGGATACTTGCTTCGGGCCATGGCTGAAAGTACAACATCCCGATGGAGATGCGATGTTGACACACCTGTTTCTTCAAACCATGACTAGGGATCTACCAGATACTATACAACGTCGTGATGAAGAGATATGGTTTGATTTTCCACCGGCGTATACGTGTTTTGGGCGGGAGGAGTTTTGCTTAATCACCGGTCTACGCTTCGGACATGATGATGTAGGTCGGTACACTAGACACATTACCCGCCCATCATGGTTATCCCGGGTTTTTCCTGAGCTGGAGAGGTCGAATCTACACGTGGAAGACCTGACGATATTATTGAATAAGAAAGATGGTTTTACTCGGATGGATGACGTCGATGTTGTCCGAGTATGCCTTCTAATACTTTTGCATGCCGGCTTTTTAGGTAGAGAGGCCAGACAACCTATTCCGAATGATCTAATCAAATTGGTAGAAGACCTAAATGCGTGGAACCTGTTTTCATGGGGCTTGTATTTATGGAAAGCTACATGGAATAAGTTATCGTCTGCCTTGGATGATCGAAAAAGTTTGCATGGCGATGGTTCCAAATACACTTTGACAGGCTTTATTTGGGCCTTTAAGGTAAGAATTTTTATATAATGTTTCCAAAATTATAAGTAATTATTTAACAATTACTAATGTTTGTTATTATATTGTTTGTAGATTTGGATATTTGAGGCATTTCCCGCCATGAAGACATATGCAATAAAAAACTTCAAATGATATTCCAAGGGCTATTTCCTGGAAGAGGAAACGGACCTTGCAATGGGAAGATTTACTACGGTATACGACAATAAATAATATAAGTTAACATAAATACTACCATATGTTTATAAACAAGTTATTACTAGAACACGTTTAACTTTGTTTGAGCTTTTATATTGTTAGGAGGACAACACTCCATTACAGAGGCTGACACCCACGGAAGCTGAGCTTGCCACTGATTGGTGGCAAGCTAGTAAGCGTTTTTTTGATGGCACGGATGATGAGCAGCCTCCACTTCGGGAGCCATCACCTCACCCAGAGCCATCACCTGATCGACCCGACTATACACCTCCACAACGACAGCCATCACCTATTCTATCACATCATCGAGCCTCTTCTCCACCATCACCGCAAGATAGGCGACCGGCAAAGATACCATGACGTTTATCTCCCTGTTCTCCACCTCCACGGGATGAGTTAGGAGAGTTACGTGATGAGGTCAATGCCTTGCGTGAGGGAGGTCGGTACTTTACGCAAAGACGATGATGCATGGCGTGTTGAGGTAACTACTTTATGCGGTGAGGTAGCCGCTCTACGTGAGATGGTAGCATCGTTGCAGAATGAGGTTCATACTCTACGCAACGAGGTAAGTTTAAGATTTTCCATATTTAACTTGATGATAAATTTACTCGTAATTTCACTTAAATTAACCATTTCACTTAGATTGCTTAGTAAATTTATTCGGTTGCTGCCAATACTGCTAAACTGCTTATTAACACTGTGAAGTTAGTATTTGTCTCTTTTTGTTTTGTCTTTTGGTTGAAGTAAATTTATTCGGTTGCTACCAATTCTGCTAATCTGTGTATTCTTTAACACTATGAAGTTAGTATTTGTCTTTGTTTTGTCTTTTGGTTGAAAGTTTGAAATATATTTGTCTTTGTGATAAATTTAACTTAGATTAACCATTTCACTTAGATTGCTTAATAAATTCATTTGGTTGCTGCCAATACTGCTAAACTGTTTTTGTTAGTATTTGTTTTTGATTTTGTTTTTGTCTTTTGGTTGAAGTAATGCAATCCATTCAAGTTTCAATTTGCAGAAGAAGAATAGTTTACTTTCGCAACACGAAAATGACTATCGTAACGCGGAAATGGCTATCGCAATGCGAAATGAAAATCGCAACGACAAAATCACAATGCGAAATGAAAATCGCAACGACAAAATCGCAACGCGAAATGAAAATCGCAATGCGATTTGTGTTTCGCGTTGCGATTTTGTCGTTGCGATTTTCATTTCGCATTACGATTTTGTCGTTGCGATTTTCATTTCGCATTGCGATAGCCATTTCCGCGTTGCGATAGCCATTTACGCGTTGCGATAGTCATTTCCGCGTTGCGATAGTCATTTTCGCGTCGCGAAAGTAAGTTTCGTGTTGCGAAAGTAAACTATTCTTCTTCTTGAATGTTAATATATGTTGTCCTTTTAAATGTTTATATAAGTGCTTACTTCTGGAATGTTATCTGATGCATTTTGTGAACTATGATAGAATAATGACTTGGGTGAATACAATGCAAGTTTGAAACATATTTGTCTTTGTTTAATATCATGTCTGTTTATTTACTGATTTATGTATTAATTTTTTTTTAGCGGCCCGATAAGGTGGATGCTTTACGTCGAGTTTTCCTTGCACGACGGAGTTCACGCATCAGACGGCGTGTACGTGCTATTACGTCTCCGTTCACCCCAATGGTGCGAAGACTCCGCAAGAAGAAGCCCGACTCACCTGTCATTCCTCAAGAGTCCCCTCCAATCGTTCAAGAGGCCCCTATCATCCCTCAAGAGTCCCCCCCACCGTTCAAGAGGCCACTGTCATCGTTGAAGAGGTTCCTCCCACCATTCCAGAGCCCGATTCACATGGGTAATATATCAAAGTATTGAGAAACCCCCACCGGTTCCGGACATGATGGATGAGAGTTGGCTCTCGTATGAGTTACCGGCTAGTACCCTTCCGGTATCTGAAGTGGAGAGGAGACAACTACCGGAAACAATTGTGGATAATACCCTTTGGGCTAAGACCGCAGTTGATTTTTATCTACATGAGCGGAGCCAAGGGTGTTACACTGACATAAGCAAACTCAACGATGAAATGTTTTTGTTGCTTGATCGGTCTTGGTGAGGTGTGCTATTAGGGGTTGAAGACAGTGGCTATTTCGATGGGGAGGTAAGTCTTATATTTGACTTATATATGA